CCAGCCCACTGTGGGTGGTGCTACCCCTGGGCAGGTGGACCTGTGTTGAAGAAGAAAGCAGGCTGAGCAGGGGCCAGAGGAGCAAGCCAGTAAGTAAGCTGTGTTCCTCCATGGCCTATGTTCCAGCTCCTGCCTCTGAGTTCCTGCCTTGGCTCCCTGATGAACTGTGACCCAGGAGATGCAAATAAACCCTTTCCTCCCCAAGTTGGTAGTGGTCAGAGTGTTTTCTCATAGCAACGAAGAAACAAACTAGGACAGAAATTGGTACTCAGAGTAGGGTATTGCTGTGACAGATCTGACGTTGGAGGATTGTGGAAACGTTTGGAACTTTGGGCTGGAAAAGCCATTGAGTGCTCAGAGTTTGTTGCTGTGGAGCTTGAACAGTTAATGCTGAAAGAGTTGTGAACAATGAAGGCCTGGCTTGTGAAGCTTCAAAGGGAAGCAGAAACTATCACTGCTGTTTGTGTGATGTTTTAAATTGAGAATCTGTGAGCTGAAGAATCAGCTGTGATTAAGAAGAGACCAGAACCTGAAGTAAAACCTTTGCTTTACTGAGACAATTGATGCTAGTTAGCTGGGGCTAAAAAATCAGCTATAAGTGACAAGATATCAGTATCACTGAGGTGAAATCTTCTGGGAGGTATTTCCTCATGGTCAGCACACAGAGGGGACCCAAACCTCCATCTCTAGCTGGAAGCAGGACTTGGTAATGTGTAAGAGTCTCCTGCATGGTTCTGGTGCTGAAAGAGTGAAGGGGTCACAGAGAGCAGCTGAGACTTGGTACTCTGAGAGGCCAAGAAAGGCCATAGGTGAAAGTGCAGCTTCAGTTGCAGTGAAGACCCCAGGATTGAAGGGGTCATGGAGAGAATCTGAGGCTTTGCACCCCAAGAGGCAAGAAGAGGCCATTGGTAAAGGTGCAGCCTCAGTTTCAGAGGAGACCCCAGGCTTTTGGAGATGCCGGGACCATGGGACGACCACCAAAGACAGCGGTATGTGTGGAATGGAGCTGGCCTGGGCTTGTGAGATGAGCTGAGTGTGCTATTGGATGGCAGAGTCAGAGAAGTGGAGCTGCCATGAACCCTTTAGAGCCCAGGAGACCGAGAGTGAATCCCAGCTGCTCAGCCTTGAGCTATTTTGCTGGACTTTGGTTTTGCTTAGGTGTGCCCAATTCTTCCCTTTGAAATAAGACAGTACTTGTTTTGGATTTTACAGAAGCCCACCCACAGTTAGGAGACTTTTAAAAGAGACTATGGACTTTTAAGTGTTTGGGTTTTTTTTAAGGACTGTGGGGTTTTTAAGGTTGTACTGTCTCATATTGTGATATTAATGTTAACATCATATCTTGGGGACAAGAATTGGAAATGTTATGGTTTAATAGTGATGTGTTTGTGTGTCAAGTTGACAAGGGGTCAATTGTGCTAGATAGCTTTAGTGTCAACTTGACACACCTGGGTTGAGGGAGCCTCAGTTGGGGAATTGCCTTCATTGGACTGGCCTGTGTCTGTGTCTATGGGGCATCTTCTTGACCGATGAGTGATGTGGGAGGGCCCCGCCCACTGTGGGTGGCGCCATCACTGGGCAGGTGGGCCTGTGTTGCATAAGAAAGCAGGCTGAGCAGGGGCCAGGGGAGCAAGCCAGTAAGCAGTGTTCCTCCATGGCCTGTGCTCCAGTTCCTGCCCTGAGTTCCTACCTTGGCTCCCTGATGAACTGTGACCCGGGAGATGTAAGATAAATAAACCCTTTCCTCCCCAAGTCGGTAGTGGTCAGAGTGTTTTGTTATAGCAATGAAGAAACAAACTAGGAGGACACTGCCCATAAAAGAGGATTCTGCCTTCAGTATGTAAGGTTTAAGAAGGGTTCCAGGGAACATCATGAAGAGGCTGTTGCATCTAGCTTTGGACCACTTTAACTGAAGAGAACAGTAATCGACTCAGGGAAGGGAGGGCTCAGTTCCTGAGTTGTCTAAACACTTGTTCTATCAGGTGAGCTTTAGCCAAACTGCCACCAGGGCCTGAGGAACCATCTCTCTAGTACCTGGTTTCAGAAGGGGATCTACTTTTTCATTTTTTACTTTAAAAAGTATATCCTCAAAAAACTTGTGCTGAGGCTGGAGAGATGGCTCAGTAATTAAGAGCACTGACTGTTCTTGCAGAGGCTGCAGGTTCAGTTCCCAGGATCCATATGGCAGCCAACAACTACCAATAACTCCAGCTCCAGGGGATTTGATGCCCTCTTCTGGCGTCTATGGGTGTTACATGCATATGGTGTACTTAGATACATGCAAGCAAAACACTCATATGCATAAAATAAAAATTTAAAAATAAACTAAGCACATTGGACTGGTGGGATGGTTGACAGGAGTGGGTGCAATCCAACCTCCAAAAATGCAGAAGAGATTAGATAGGGCACGATAGATTAAATGATAGAACACGGGAGAGATTTGGAATAGTGCCTGTCACACAGTAACCTCTTCTTGTCAACTGAGTGACTGTGTCCTTCCAAAATTCATGTACAAGAGCTCTAATGCCCAGTAGGATGTGATTAGTAGGTGGAGACCTTGAAGAATAATTGAGTCATGAGATTGGGGTTCTTGTGATGGGATTAGCACCCTCGTAAGAATAGACCAGAGAGCTTTGCTTTCCTCCACCACTGAGGATAAGGCAAAAAGATGTCTAACTTTGAGTTAGAGAAAGAGTGATCATTAGAAGTATCTTGATCTTGGACTTCCCAGTCTCCAAAATGGGAGAAATAAATTTCTGCTATTTAAGTCACTGGGTCTGTGGTATTTTGTTATAGTAACCTGAGATGATTGTTAGATAATAATTTTATTATTCTTTTGAGCTGAACTTGTCTGTCTATGAAAAAGGAAGTACATTGCCTAAAAGTTTTGTGAGGCAAATTTGAGTCTCTTCTTACACAGTCAAAATCCCAGTGAGTCTAAGAGTCAGAGACATCTGAACAGATATTGCAGAACAACATGATGAATCATGTCATGGCATGGCACTCATGGGGAGTGACAAACCTGCCTGTTAAATCTATTATGGGTTAGAGGTTGATCAGAGGCCACACTGACAATTCTATTAAATATATTCACTCTTTTTATTTTTAAAATATTTGTTATTATTTTAATATTTTATTTATTATTTTAATTTTATGCATATGAGTGTATTGTCTGCATGTAGGTGCACCTGTGTTGTGCAGTGCCAGCAGAGGTCAGAAGAGGACATCAGATCCCCTGGAACTGGAGTTACAGTTCTTAGCCGCCATGTGGGTGCTGGGAATCAAACTTGGGTCGTCTGCAAGAGCAGTCAGCGCTCTTAACCACTCAGTCATCTCTCCAGTCCCTTGTTTATCATTTTTATCTTATATGTTTGAGTGTATTATCTGCATGTATGTAATGCACCCATGTAGTGCAATGCCCATGGGGATCAGAAGAGGGCATCGGATCCCCTGGAATTGGAGTTATGGATGCTTGTTAGTCACGATGTGGGTTTTGGGAATGGAACCCGCATCCTCTGCAAGAGCAGACAGTGCTCTTGACCACTGAGCCATCTCTCCAGCCCCTTCACTTTTTATTATTCACCCATGTATTCCCAAAACATCTTCTGTGTGCTTCCTGTAAACCAGGCACATAGACATGGGAGTTCACACACTGGTTTGGCATTAGAAATGATCACTAGATATTTCTGTAATATAGTATTTAAGTACTTTAATTGAGAAGTAATGTTTGGAATATTTCCACGAGATTGTAGAATGGTCCTAAGGCCAAGCACCCTTCCTCATACGAGCTGCATGCATCACTGCCAAGGAGCTGCTTTGAAAAGAGAAACAAGACCACAACTCTTAGAGAAAATTCTGTAAGTACCCAATTTATTCATAAAACAATACAGTTTAAACATTTATGATTTTTTTCGGTCATACTTTTTTTTTTTTTTAACCATCATTCCCAAAATGTTATGCATCGGTTGACATGTATTTGCAAAATTAGGGTCTATAATTATAACTCTGGAAATTGTACATGATATTTGATTTGCTTATTGTTACTGTTTCCCCTCAAAAACCCAAACAGCAGATTTATTTTGCATTGAATATACTTTATGATCTTTCTGATCAAAAATGAGCTCCACATTGTGCCATAAAAATGCTTGTAAAACATTTGTTCATTTCTCTGAGACAAGCAAAGCAGGTCACTGAGGCAAGTACCATACATTTGAACACAACACCTCCATCCTAGACAATGATTCCAGGCATTGCTGCCTACAGACCTTGCACTCAAGAATGATAAGAGGCAGAAAGAAGCCCCCACAGTAGGCTCGAAGATGGAGTGGCACAGAAACCGGGGAGTCACATTGCATGGCTATTTGTCATGGACAAGATTCCATTCAAGTTCCAAAGAAGACTTTTCAAGATAATTTCTAGGAACTGACATGACAGTGGAACCAACAGAGCAGAGGGGTGGGTGCCTCTTCTAGGTGAGCAGGAGCAAGGCAGGAGGGAGTGCTTCCCAGTCTTGGTAAAGAAGAGGTGTGACCACAAAGCTGTGAGACTGATGTGGGGTGTGCAGCTTCTGGACTCAGTCTCACCACTTTCTACTCTCACCTCAGGGACAGGCAGGACCCCTGTGCTACTGGCAGGCAAGAGGAGCCATTTGCAAGCAGACTAGAAGATTCCCTGTTTGCGATGGTCTCTACTGTGAAACCCATAAAGCTCAGAACCTCATTAGTCCCCATGCATTCCAAGAACTGAATTGGCATGACTTGGGAACTTGTGAGACATGCCCTGTACATATGTATTGCACTGAAAACTCAAGTTTAGCAAAGTTCTCGGGTAATTTGTGTGTACGGTAAAGAATGCATGAAGGGTGCTGGGCTAAATGACCCACACCCACCTCAAAAAGACTATTTCTAGGTAGATAAATTTCTTTAGTACAGAGACCATTCTTAGCAGGGATGAATTATAGATACCAACTGCAAAAAACGGTGTAAGGTTACTTGTTTTTATTATTTTAAACATGCAAAATACAGTCCATGCATCTGCCATTTTGAAAAGTCTCTCATCCTATAGCAGATAAAACCAAATATGTTTTGGCTATCGACATTCAAGAAATGTTTCAAAATGCTTTACAGTGTAAAGATAATAAGAAATTTAGCAAAATTTCAACAAACCTGTATAAAAATGGATACATATGCCATTTTATTTCAAGGCGACATGCTGTAAAGTGTATGTTATTATCTGTATTTCTTTGTAAAAATTCTTTAACAATACAAGGGCTTAACAGATCCAGGCCTTGGGGCTACGCATGCAAAAAAAATTGTCAGTTAAAAATCACCAAAACGTGCTATTTTTAAATGTGTATAGTTATTTTTTAAGTACAGGAGTAGAAGTAGTAAATATTAGCAGGAGTAGTATTTCAGAACTCTGAAAGTGTGTGGAGTTCACGGTGCTAGTGCCCTGGAAGACTCGTACACTTCCGATGAACATTTTGGTTTAATTCCTTTGCCATTGTAATAGTCCACGACTTGATTTGGGACTTCTGCCAACACACTCTTTGCAAGGGCAGCGGGGGATGCCTGCAGAGAAGAAGAAGGGACCATGACTTGAACCACATCCAGACTCAGAGTCACAGGCTGGAGTCCACCTAGTCTCATTCATTCACCCATTCATTTGGTTTCATCATTCTACTTTTTTATTCTTCTCTGTAAACATCAAACAATTATTCACACCTGAAGGTGGGTGAAAAGTGGATGATAGAATGGATTGTCCTGTGGATTTTGTTTTGCTTTAATTTGCATTTAGTTTTAGACATTTATATTCCGGTCGCTATACTGGGCATATTTATGTTCTGGTTGCTATACTGTCACAAAAGTATTCTTTATGGGAGGACAGACTGGCATGGCCAGAATGAGCCCTATTAGGAGGTAGCACAGGATACAAGCTACAGACCAGCAATACATGGGCGTTTCCTATGTAGACTCAGACTGATGCCAGAGCTCCTGAATCGGAGTCTGCATTTTAACATGATGTCCTGGTGATTCCCATGGAAAGTAGAGAGGTACTGTTATAGAAAGTCATGAACACCCTGAGATGAAGTTATCTCAGAGGAAGTTATAGCAGGCTTCCAAGAGGACGATATTAAAAATGCAGAGGTGGGGGAAAGGAGTAGTAATTGGTCATTCTCGGAATAGCAAGGCATCTCATGGAGATGAAGAAAGAATGGTTGTATATCTCTCTCTCTCTCTCTTTCTCTCTCTCTCTCTCTCTCTCTCTCTCTCTCTCTGTGTGTGTGTGTGTGTGTGTGTGTGTGTGTGTGTGTGTGTGGTGTAGTGGGCATGCAGTTGGAAGATGAACTTGAGGGCTAGGGTCTTGAATGCCACTCTAGCAATGATTCTATAGCAGGGAAAGTTTAAGTCAGGCACATAGTGTCCTGGAGAGCTGGATTTGAATCCTGGCTGTGACAGTACTGACTTCAGTGGTCTGAGCCTCAATAGTAACTATTGCTGAAGAGATTAGGAGGTAAGGCAGAGTGACCAGTTAACACGTGTTTGAGATTGCCAAGGGAAAAGAACTGGCCTAAGGTGACTGGGTTTTTAATTCACCCTTTCTTGTGAGTTTGTCACTCAGCCACTCAACGTTGCATAACCCTGACCTCAAAGGCAAACTAAGAAGGAAACAGATCCCATTCCATCTAACAGAATGTCAAAATAAGAAGTCTAAAAAATCCAGAAACATCGTGAAGAGGTTTGATCCCTAATAGTCTGAAGGTGTAGCAGCATGTGGGAAATCTGACCTGCAGAGGCTCCTTATAAATGGTTTCTTTGGGTTAGACCATGGTCCATGTGTACACTGAGACAGAAACAAAATTCATTTCTAGATTGGTTAGAAAAGTTAGAAAGCCCAAAACTTAATTTCCCAGCCTCCCCTGCATCTAGGGACGGCCACGTTACCCAGTTTTGTTCTCTGAATGGAAATGTCCTAGAGGATTTCCTGGAAATCTTTACTTCCTAGTTAAAAGGGATATAGCTAGCTCTATTTTCATCCTCTTTTCCTTTCCCCCTTGAAATATAATGTGATTCCTGGATTTACAGCAGCCCCTTTATTATTATGAGGAACCATAAAAGGAAATCATAAAGTGCTGATCCTCACACTACTGAATCACCCAAAGGAGGAATTATCTGAGTCACCAGCCCCTAACTTCTAGTTACATAAGAATGAGTTTATTTAGCTTTTGTGCTATTGATATTTTGGACTGAATAATTCTCTGTATGGGGCTCTGCTCAGTATATTGTAGGATGTTAATCACTCTCCCTGGCTCCTACCCACTACATGCAAGCACTGCTCCACATTTGTCATCATTAAATATCTACAGATACGGTCAAATACCTCCTGTGCAATAATGTCAATGTCACTCCAAGTTAAGAACCAACCATTTAATCTACTGTAAAATAGATTTGCTATTGCTTGAAACCAACATATTTCTTATAGAGGTTGTAAAAATAAGCCCTGCAATGTTAGAAATATCCTGTCTGTGCTGCCTTATATGAAACTACTAATAACATGTAACTATTCAGCCCTTGACCTGGGCTAGTATGACCAAGCAGTTAGGTTTTAAGTTTCCTTAATCTTAATGAAGATTTTTTGTTTATGCATGGTTATGGGGTATATATGCATGGCACATGTCTGTGTGTGGATGGCAGATGTTGATGTTGTGTGTCTTCCTCAATCACTCTCCACCTTATTTATTTTTGAGATAAGAGCTCTCATTGAAGTGGAAGCTTCCTGATTGGCTAGACTGGCTGGTCAGCAAGCCCCAGGGATCTTGTTTACCTCTGCCCAGGCCTGGGATTGTGGGCACAGGCTCCCATACCTGGCTTTTATGCGATTGCTGGGAATTGAACTCAGGTATTCCATGTTATTCTGACAAACACTTTACTGAGTGAACCATGTCCCCAGCCACGTAGCTTGGCACCTGTACCTGTGCTCTCCAAAGCCCTGAGCTACCAAGCAGAGCAGAAAGAGAAACAACTCGGGTTATTGGCGTATGGAACGACATCAGCGCCTCAGCTTCCCTTTCATTCATGGCTTATTGAAGTCTGAGTACGTTCGCTTGGACAGTGAAATGCTTTCCAGAAATCTGATTTGAAATCCATAAAGATAAGGCAGGTGAAAATACTCTCTGGGCTCTGCCCTAATTACTCCAGAGCTGTGGGAAAGGCACAGCAAGGAGACTGAAGGGACACACACGTCCTTCTCCTGGTTAGGGAAATTCCCTTGTTGCTGATGCCCCTTTGGCTTCTGGCTAACGAAGTCTCCATCCTTCTGAAAATGCTTAGCTTAAGCTGTAGGGCTTTCCCCGTGGCTACCTGTGTCTGCTCTGAAGTCCTTTCAGGTGGGTCCAACCCCTGGGCTGCAGGCCATGTGTAGCTGCATACAGCTGAGGAGAGCTGTGAATATAGTCCAACCAAAATAATAAACTTACTTAAAAATTATGAGATTGTTTTTGCAATTTGGGGAGACTCAATTGCATAGTGCTCAAGCATAAACTTTTTATAGATCACACCATGTTATAATGTCAAAAAAAACATAGGCCTGGGGACAATGGCTCAGTCAGCAAGCATGAGGACCTGAGTTTGAATCCTCAGCACTTATATAAAAAAACCTGTGTGTTTTCCTGTGTGTCTCTAATCCCAGTGCTGAGAATGTGGTGGTGGTGGGGGGGACTGGCAGATCCATGGGGCTTGTAGACCAGCTAGCTTAGCCAAATCATTGAATTCTAGGTTCAGTGAGAGACCCTATTTCAAAAATAAGGTGGAGAGTGAGGAAGGATACCCGGTGTTGACCCTCCTCCACACGTGTGTATGTGCATACCCATACTCAAGTACACACACACATATACACATACACACCACACACACACACACACACCACAAAGGTTGGACACACATGAATGTTATTCTCACCCAATAGGCTACTTAGCATGTGGATTTTCTGCTAATATTTTTGTCCTAAACACGCAAGTCTCCAGGAAATTCTAAGGCCTGGACCTGTGCATTATCATGCCATTGTAGTCCCAGTGTGTCTGGTGTGGGCCTTGCACAGCAGATAGTCCATGAGATGAGTGTTTGGGGACTAGGACGAGGCTTAGAAAAGTAGAGGTTAGAAGCTTTTGTGGCTCAAAGGCATTATGTTGGCATTCCTCTTTGTGTGTGTGTGTGTGTGTGTGTGTGTGTGTGTGTGTGCGCGCGCGCGCATGCACGCGCATGTGTGTACATGTGTGTACATGTGTGTACATGATGGGGGAGTGTGATAGTTACTTTTAAATTCAACTTGTCACAACCTAAACTCAGACGGGACAAGAGCCTGAATGAAGGATTGCCTAGATCAGGTTGGCCTCTGGGTTTGTCTGGATTGTGTTGACTGCCTTCACCAAGGTGAGATGGAAGACCCACCCTGAGTGTGAGTGGCACCATTTTCATGGGCTGAGCCCTGAACTATGTGTGTGGAAAGTGAGCTGAAAGCAAACAGGCAGGCAGAGTGAGTGCACTCGTTTCTCTCTGTGCTTGACTGGATGTGATGTGACCAGCTTTCTTAAGTCCCTGCTGCCATGACTTCCTGATATGATGGATGGTGACCCGGAACTGTTAAGCCAAATAAACCCTTTCCTCCCCTGAGCTGCTTTTTGTTAGGATATTTTTTTTCCTTTTTTAATTTTTAATTTTTTATAAGAAGCATTTCATTACAGCTTTAACATACTCATTAACAGTTTCTGGAGCAAAGATACATCTCTTTCAAAAGTGGCTATAAAATTTTTAGGTTCGCTGTTGTATTAATAAAGTTATACAATATTGAACTCAGTATAAGCCCTGTAAGACATAAAATTGAATGAGTTTTTAACCTTTAAAAGAGATCTCCATTTCATTTAAAAATGTACTGTTTCTAATCTCTATATAACTGATTATTACTAGTCACAATCAGTTATTTTCGGAGCTCTTTGGCGCCTGTGTATGTCTATAAAGTCATCAGGTAGATTCCAATGGTAATGTTTATCAACTCTACTAATTAACATGACATAAACTTTTATGCTTCCGCCTCAAATATAATTCCTTTTTAAAAATTTGTTAATTTTTTTTTTGTGTGTGTGTATCTGGATATTTTATCACAGCAACAGAAATGAAGTTAGAACAGAGTGGGGCAGGAAAGAGTGGTTCAGGGATGTCCGAGACCCTCCTACGGAGTGAGCTCGTCCATCCTCTTCACTCAGGCAACATCTTGGGTCTCCATCACCACAAGCCATCAAAGTCTGAAACAACACCCTTCTCTCTACCTTGAGCACTTTTCAAAGCAGAGAACTTTGTGTAACACAGCTGCAGCAAATTTAGCCTGCTCCAGCATGCCCTTCCACAAAGTGGATGCCAGGCTTTCTGACTCCACACCTTGCTATCCAGAGCAGACAATGTGAGGGCCTGCATAGCCTCTTTCACTTGATGAATATTTTTCTTTGGAAATCTCCTCTGTGGGGAAGTGGAAGAGGCGGTACAGCTGCCCTTCCCCCACAGGCGTGGGCCTGGGAGCTTGTGGGGACATCAGCTGCTGCTGGTGCTTGGAAACTTCCTCTACACTCAGCTCTGCAGCAGGGGATTGATTTTCTCCCACTTAATGATTTTTAACTACACTGCAGACCTCCTTAAAAGGAGAATAGTGATTGCATGGCAGTATGCTTATGAACAAATCTTACTCAGGGAGCCCTGGAGTGTACAGTCACTTCCCTCTGAGGCTGGGCAGCTCATGGAATCCAGGGTTCATCTGAGGCTGCAGGATTGGTGCTACATCTGACCGTTCACTGGAAAGCCTGTTCCAGGAAGCTAGTCAGACAGACAGCCATACCCAAAGAGCACATATGAAGAGTTCTGATGCTGGGACTGTCAGTACCAGGGTGGCTGGGGTCCCAGGGTGAGCCCAAATTAGATCCAATGTGCCTGGACTAAAACCTGGCTGTGAAGAATGTCAGGGATTCATTTAAGAGTGAGTCTTTGTCTAGAAGAGAATGGATTTTCCAAATAGGCATCCAGGGGGACAGCCTGGTTTGGATGGCATGGCACCTTGCCTCCCTCTCCCTCACATCAGTCATGGCAGTTGTGGATGGAGCCTCATGCACAGCAGGGATGCTGAGGAAGCTAACAGATGTGTTTCCAGCAGCGACATGGACATCCCTGTATTTGTGGTCCAGGAGAAACTATGTGTTGGTAAAGGATGAGACTATGGAACAGCCTTAGGACACTGAGGACTTTGGGGATCCCTTCCTGCTGACAGCTCAGGTCTACTCCTCTTCTCTTAGAATGGTGGCTGATATCACCAACAGCAGAGCAGAAATCAGGCTGAAGTAGGGAGCAGGGGCCAGGGTGTGCTCTGTTATCAGATAGCTTTTGTAAGGGCCAGAAAACAAAAGAATGTAGAGGACTCTTTGTGGCCACATAAAATGGTCTCCCAGACTCAGCTAGGGCAGCTCTCAAGGGGCCTTTTATGAATCAGAGAAGGTATCAATCTCACAAGTCACAGTTCCATTGGGGATGGAGTTTCTGGAAATTTCAAAAGCACTTTTTTTCTCTAGGGACATAATAATTATTCAGTAATTTGAAGTGTGAGTAGACTATTACTGAGACCCTTTGTGATATCATACTGGGCATAATCTAGAGGATCTGCTTCAGCCAACTGGGGAATGTAACTGCTTTACCTTTCATTGTGAATAAGAGCCTGTGGAGCTTTGAATGAGAAGTGTCCCTCATAGGCACCAAGTATTTGAATCCCTGGTCAGTTGGTGGTGCTGTTTGTGGAATGTCATGGAACATTTAGGAGGTGTGACCTTGCTGGAGGAAACATGTCACTGGGGGTGGGCTTTGAGAGTTCATAGCCTTTCCTTCCTACATGTGCCTGAAGATGTGATGTCTCGGCTTCCTGCTGCAGGTAGCTCTGCTGCCATGTCTCCCCACCATGATGGAGTCTCATCCCTCTGTAATGGTAAGCCAAATAAACTATTCCTTCTGTAAGTTGCCCTTGCCATGGTGTTCTATCACAACAACAGAAAAACAGCTAAAAAAAAAAAAGGCCCATGACTGGATAAAGTGACAGGATGCAACTAATTTCTGTCAACAGAGAAGGTAATTCAAAGATCATTGATTCCGTATGCTATTGGTCATTGACAGGTCTGCTTTGGCAAACTTGTTCTAGGATTTTCTCCTTTATTGACCACCCTGAACTACTTTACATATTCCTTTGGACTAGCTTAATCATCATGCTCCTGAGTAAATGGGAAAAAAAATCAGTGCTGCTTACTATACAGAGAGGGGTTAAGCTTGTATCATTTTGAAAACATCCCTTGTGAAGGCCGAGACAATCTTTTGCTAGGGCAGACCCAGGATGAATTTCAATCTATCTTTACTTTTGTACTAAGCACTTGGGCAGGCAGTAAGCTGCCCAACTTTCCATGGCAACCCTGCGGGCATCAGCGATCCCAAGTTTTATCAATGATGGTATGTATTTGTACATGTGGCACTAGAATTAGCATGACCTATTATTTATGATTTAAATTATGCTTCTTTCCCCAAACAGTCATGTTCTAGCTATCCTTGCTATGGGATTTAGCCAGCCTACCCAGAGACAATTGATTCTGCTTCCAGAATGGCAGCTCACCACAAACATTGGTGGGCCTGTGAGAGAGATGAGCATCCCCCATGAGGCATATGCTTACATGTTTGAAGTTCCTGAAGGGTACAAACTGGACGATATCACGAAGGACAGGCTCTCCCTTGGGTGACCTCAGAATCCCATCATCACCATCTAGCATCTGCATGTCACTGAAGTCCGCGTTCCCAACTCCCACGATGATGACTGACATGGGGAGGTGAGAGGCGTGGACGATGGCCTCCCGAGTGTCAGCCATGTCTGTGATGACACCATCTGTCAGGATCAGCAGGATGAAGTATTGCTACAGTCAGATGCCAGGTAAAGGTGAGGGACCAGGAGGTGGGGGAGAAAAGGACAATACAGTACCAGTTAGACACAGCTGAGAGGCTTCTTTATAGAGTGACCACAGCCACAGTGACAAGGCATTTTTGTTGTTTCTCTACCTTTTTATTAAGGAAAATCTAATGCCAAACTGGAAAAGGCATGGTACTTTGTGAACCCATTACTAGGCATCAGAAAATGGCCAATCTCACGTCACTCAATCACCCTCACTCACCTACCTTGTTTTGTTTTTGAAGCATATTCCATACATTATAGCATTTTTACATAAATAAAACTCATAAAGACACAAAATTATTAATGTCCTATGCAAGAAACCAAAATTTGTAAGCTGCTGAACGAAAAGGTGGTATTCATACTTTGCCACGTACCAAACTCTTTCATTTGGTTTCAAGTTCTGCCTTAAATTAAAACCCATGGTCTCAAAAACATAGGGGTTCATTCTCTGATGATATTTAAAAATGTAGCATATTTTCTTCAAAGGCTCCCTGTGGTGAGTTGGATGTGAAGTGCTCGCCCCTCACCCCCACACTTGATCTCTTGGTGGCACTCTTTGTGGAGGAACAATGTCACTTTGCTTTGAGCTTTGAGAACTCATAACCTTGTTCCACTTCAGTTTGCTCTCTCTGCTCCCTGTTTGTGGGTGAAGATGTGAGCTCTCAGCTTCCTCCTCCTGCTGCTGTGTGCCCTCCACACCCTCGCCCCCATGGTGGACTCTTAACCCTCTGGAACCATAAGCCGAAATAAACTCTTCCTTCCATAAGTTGCTTTGGTCATGGTATTTTACCACAGCAACAGAAAGGTAACAAATACACTCCCCAAAGTAGATTCTAAGCTATCTCCCACTCCTACAAAAAGCTCTGGCTCCTTTAAGATTCTTATCATCCAGTTTTCCTTGTTCACTGTTATCTACTGATTTGGTGATGATCCCAAAGAGGCTCGTGGATGACAGGCCTTCACTCCTGGCCCCTCAGCTCCTGAGTGTCCCCATCTCCATTAACCCCATGTTGAGTCCACTTTAGCCCACTCTACTCATGAACAACCCAGAGCCAGTCATCATTCATCATTACCTCATTCTGGGGCTCATGTCCTCCAGTGCTCGCCTTTAGATAGGCTCTCATTCTTCCTGTTCTCCTATTGTCCATTGATTGATTGATTGATTGATTGATTGATTGATTTTTGAGACAAGGTATTTATTTATTTATTTATTTATTTATTTATTTATTTATTTATTTATTTATTTATTTATTTATTTATTTATTTATTTATTTATTTATTTATTTATTTATTTATTTATTTATTTATTTATTTATTTATTTATTTATTTATTTATTTATTTATTTATTTATTTATTTATTTATTTATTTATTTATTTATTTATTTATTTATTTATTTATTTATTTATTTATTTATTTATTTATTTATTTATTTATTTATTTATTTATTTGACAAGGTATTTATTTATTTATTTATTTATTTATTTATTTATTTATTTAATTTATTATTTTTGAGACAAGGCCTCCCTGTAGTCCAGGCAGGCCTGGAGCTCACTATGTAGACCAGGCAGACCTCTATCTCACAGAGATCTGCCTGCCTCTGTCTCCCGAGTGCTGGGATTAACTGCATGCCCCACCACACCAATTTAGAGAAATCTTAATCCCCTTGTTGCTTCCATTTCTTCCTGGCTTCTGCCTGATCTTGGCTTCAGGTACAACAGACATTTTTGAGTGCCTATTCTGGGTAACCCTAAAAACTTAAGGTTACAATGAATGGCGCTCAAAGGCAGGCACAGTAATTATAGCCTAATTATAATATGGCACATGCCTTTAATCCCAGCACTCGGGAGGCAGAGGCAGGCAGATCTCTGTGAGTTCAAGGCCAGCCTGGTCTACATAGTGAGTTCCAGGACAGCTGGGGCTACAGGGAGACCCTGTCTCAAAAAGACCGAAAAAAAAAACCAAAAAACAAAAAAAGCAACCAACCAAACAAACCAAAAACAAAGCTCAAAATAGTAGAAAGCCGGAGCTGGGGAGTGAGAACCGACTCCCAAGCCTCATTCTGTGGGGTCTGGGAAGAACCTTTAATGCCTTGGTCTTAGCTTCTTAATTTCTCAAAAGATGACTAAGACAAGATCATTATGTGATCTTTGGCTATAAGACTTTAAAAGAATTGAAGCCGTGTCATCTAGTGTAATAGTCACTAGCTTCATGAACATATTGAGCCTTTCTAATGTGTCCAGAGCAAGGGAGAAGCTTAACTTTAAATTAACTTTAAAAACAGACACCAAACTCAGTTATTGAACACTTTTTAAGAAGAACATGATTTATATTTTCCCACTATCAATTTATAATATCTAAGAAAGATCAAGCATTTGTGATAACTCAACACCCAAACTGAGATGCCACAAATGTAAAATATACAGATATTTAAAAATCTTCGTGCAAGAAAGAACAAACTATTTCACTGGTAATCTCTATATGGAATAGATGCTAAAATGACAATATGTTGGCTATTTTGATTTTTATTATAAGTAAAACACATTATTAAAATATTTTCCTGCTTACTTTTTACATGTGGTTGCTATAGAATTTAAAATTGTATCTAGGACTTGCATTGCATGTTGCATTTCTTTAAATTTTTTTAATTTTACTTATTATTTTTATTTTATGTGTATGATTGTAATGCCTGCATGTAGGTAGGTGCACCCATGTTGTGCAATGCCCACAGAGGTCAGAAGAGGGCCTCGGATTCCCCTGGAACTGGAGTTAAGGACGGTTTGTAGCTGCCATGTGGGTGCTGGGAATCGAACCCGGGTCCTCTGCAAGAGCAGTCAGTGCTCTTAACTGCTGAGCCATCTCTCTAGCCTGCATGTTGCATTTCTTTTGTACTGGGCTGGGGGGAAGCTGTGCAAGGAGAGGGGCAGGCCAGGTCATATGCCAATATTGCTGGGCTCTTATGGCTCTAGATCCTTCCCTATGTATTGGCTCCTGGCGTACAGTCTCCCTGTACGGAGAGGTTGCCATGTGGCTCATCTGAGATGGGATCAGAAGAAGGGCTCTGCACCCATCAGTGCACGAAGACTCGCTGAAGGTGAGCACTGATGTGTTCATCATGAGGGGCCCTATGCTATCTTCTTCACTGAGAGAGGGGAAGGAAGAGGATGAGGGAGATGTAGGTCAGGCCAAACTCCAGAGAACTTCCTACCCAATCCCTACAATATGCCTGCTATTTGCAGGAAGTAAATATCTGGGGAGGTTGAAACACTCCAGGCAGGAGGTAGTACAGCTTGTTAGGAGAACACTTGTCAAGTATGTGAGGTCCTGAGTTTGATCCCCAGAATTACAAAGATTAGTAAATAAATAAAAACAAATTTAAGCTGTCTAGCTTGCTGTATTTCAAACGCTTCTAGAAAGGCTAGAGCTCCACTTTGAAACACTCACTTGAGAATCATATACTTAAGTTGCAAATAAAGTGACAGTGCTAAAATGTTCTGTTTTTCTCTTTATGACTGAAAATCTGTTTTTAAACAAAGGAGTATGAAGTGGAGACACAGCTGAAATACACTGGAAAAAAGACAGCCATGCATTCTGAATGCTTTCTGTCTTTCTTGAGGCTAGGTCTCTTATTGTTTGCTGTGTGTATGCCAGGCTAGGTGGCCATGAGAATCCAGAGATCCTCCTGTCTCCCATGTCACCACAGGAGCACCAGGATTATAGATATGCTCTACAGCATCTTGCTTTATGTGGGTTCTGGGGACCTAAACGCAGGTCCTCATGCTTGCACAACATGTGCTTTGCCCACTGAGCCAGCTCCCAAGTCTCTAGAGCTAGGTCTCTTAGCTATTAAAGATTTCAGGCAGTCTGTGAACTTAGGATAAATCACATTCTTATTTTCACTAATCTCTAACTGAAATTTGTCATTTTCTCAGTTATAAATGTCACCAGCAAATAAAAACTAGTGTTAGTTGTACTTACAGCTTAGTTGTCAAAAGGTATCACAGTCATTTTTCTACATTATAGTGGCCACAGATATTTGAACATTATCATTTATATCGAGTGTCACTCAGAAATTACAGGATTATCAGATTAGCTACAGGTTCCTGAAACTTAACAAGTAGATAAAGGAAGCATTTTATTACTGTATTTATAATGCTCCCATACTGTAGGAGGAACTGAGGCCTGAACAACCGGTGCATGTGCGCTGCAAACGCACCAAAAACATCTAGTTGAGTCAAACCTGTGTTCTGCCAAAGGACATAGAGATAGCTGACACAAGATAGCTCGACATAGAGAGCCAATGAGGATCAGACATGACCTGAGAAGGCCTACCAGGGCCAATGGGACGTTGGGAGAGGGGTATATAAGGCAGTCTCATATCCGGAATAAACGAGTCTGCAGCACTTCGCCTGGTGCCTGCTTCCACCCTACTCCCGGTGTCTGTGTGTTGACTCCGCACTGCTCACTCCCTCCCCTCCAGGACCCTGAGTATCCCCTAGGCTGGACCTGCAGGGAGAGACTGCAACATCTGGAGCCTGAACAGGGACTCTTGGCCCCCTTGGCATTGGTGATGCCTCCAAGTTTGGTGAGTAGGCCCCAGGTTTTGTCTGTACCTTTAGCTTCTTGAGGGTGAGCGAGTGGCCCCCTCCTCTGTCCCCTCTACCCTGTTTGTCATATTTGTTGTTAGATCAGGAAAGCACACTTTGCCACATGGTCCTGAAGCCCATGGCGGCCCCTTTCACTCCTTGGCTCATCCTGGTGAATTCACATAAGGGTTGATCCACCCTGAACTCAGAACCCAGGCCTTGGACGATCCTGTTGCCTGTCCCAGAGACACTGTGTGAGCATACAGCTGAGGGTGTCATGGCCCTCAGAAGTCCCTCACTAAGCACAAGACACTTGGATCCGATATACCTATTCATGTCGGGGAGGTTCACGGTGGAGTGGCTCACAGTCCTCGTCTGCT